ATTTCGAATGTGATTTCCCCAATATGTCGATTTTAATAAATGCTTCGAGCCGTTCCTAAGCCTTTTATACTCGTCCCTAAGATGAATAATATGCTTCATTCTGGGTATCTGTTTCAAGTTTCAGTTTTATTTTTGAGTTTGAAGTTGAGGTCGCCTTCCCAAAAACTACGCTTTGATTCAACGGAACGCATGCTTAAGCAAACTGCGGCAGAGCATGTCTTCAAAAGGAGAAGAACATGCATGTTTGCACGGTTTGAATGTCGGTTTTCCTTACACTTCCATGATGGGGCCTTTTCGGATGTCCTTCTTAGCATGGCCTTAATGGTGCAGAGCTGATCTCATTTTTATGCCATTAGCCAGGAGTGCCTTATTTTTTAACGGCGGAGTCATTAGCAGCTATGTGAAACATGCAGTGTGTAGTCGCCTGTCTCTTTTTCACAACGCAATATTTATTTATCAACCTCATGCTAAGGTAAGGGGATTGACCCCAAGTGGGACTCAAATCCGGATTGTCTCTCTTCTAATGTCGTTCTGGCTGAGCAATACCAATCAGAACCAATATGTGGTAGAGTCCTTGATTAATGGAATTTGTGGGTAAGACAAAGAGTGCCCTCTGTCGGAACCGAACCGGGCACCTACAGATTTCAAAGCCGACGTTTTAGTACCGTGCCATAAAACTATATCTTCAAACATCATCGGTAGGCAAGCAACTTCAAAATCGCTCATAGACATATCTAAGGGAAAGACTGATGAAGTGTTATTAAAGAAAACATTACTGATCCGCAAACAAATGCATGATAAAATTTTCCCTCATGCCATTTTCGATGTAAACACAGGACAACGATTCGAGTGCAAGGTGAATGGAACATTCGGATTGTGCTTCATTAAAAAATGATCTGAAAACGTAGTTGATAGTTCTGTGAAAACCCTTAGAATAGAATATGCCATTTTTCTTTGCCATTTTGCTGCAAGTCTCCAATGTCCAATCAGAATATCAGCGTTGACGGCAGCCAACAAATGACCGACTCTTGAGCTATTACGGTAAGCGTGATCACATATCGTTACATCAACATTGAAATGGTCGGCTAAAGAGATTCTGAAAGTGGATATGCAGAGCTCGTTATGTCATTTAAATATGTTCAGTCTAGAAAAAAAGCATACTGACTATTCAACTCAAAAGATGGATTAGGGACCGTTGAACCGTCGCGGGAAATAATACCGTAGGAAGCATGATGTAGACATTTAGTCATTGTTTCAGCCTTTGAACAGAAGACCAACGGTCATGGGCGGAGGCACACAAGCATGAACAAGAACATGAAGCAGTTCATGGGTGTATGATGCCAGGTGATCACGTATGCAATATAGCACTCTAGGAAACACACACTTGTGAGCATCTCATTACAGAAGTTAACAAACCTTTTAAGATTCTGAAGTCGAGTTCGATAAATCCTCGAAAGACCAATACGCCTGTCAAAGTTTGTTTCTAAGACATATGACCTCATTCATTGCAGCTACTAAAAAAGTGAACTTCGCCTCGTCTACGACGCGAGGTCTGAACTCGATCGATCGGACGAAGAACGACAAATATGCTTTGATAGAGTCGAGGATTTGAAAACGCGCAGGTTTTCTTCAACGAATGACAGTTTGAAGCCTATTCATAGAACGCCATTCGATTAAACGTTTGTGCCAGTGCGTCAGTTTTACTGAATTGCCGCTTTTTCCGTACGATGCGAACGCAGGGCTTTCAGACATGGCAAAGGATCGAATTTTTCTACTGCGTTCCTGTCGACGCGAGGCAAAATTAAATGCCACGAACAAGTGAAGAACAATCACGCTGTTGTGACGCTATTCGACCTCGACGGATAATTTGACAGCTACTCTGAGGCAAGAAAAATTCGCCTCTTCGAGCAGCACGAATTGTCGACTCTTCCACGTGTCGGAGTTGGGGTAAAGACTTGGACTCACAGACGTAGGTTCGAGTCCTGATGCAATCACTTGTTTTTCGCCGCTGTGTGGCAGACAAAACGAGTATCTCTTTGGAAGAGAAAGCCAGATCTGCTATGACACTCATGAAACTTGGTTCAGACACGAGGCATTTCCAAATGATGAAATTCAAACGAGCATCGCGGTTTGTCCCAAAGATTTCATAGTGACGGACATCCCAGTGGTTGCCACATTTCTTTCCTGCTTGCTTCCAGAAACATAGATTTTAGCATATCCATTGGCAATCGCAAAGAACACTCTTAGGGAGAATCAGTCGAATATTCAGCTGGATAAAATTCGTGACCACTTTATTAGTTAACAGTAGCGCATGAAGCTTATTGTAGAAGAGAAAAACAGAGCATCAGCCATAGTGGCATCGTTGAAGTATGAGGAATAAGGGTGCACCCCAAAAAAGAGAAACTGACAGTGTGGGGAATACATTGTCACTTTTTCAAATTGACACATCCAACTTGTCTTTCCTCATATCAGGCGACTCACAAACTCAGATTAGGTCTGTCACGCTTCCAGCAATGATGGAGTAAATGATATTTAGTTTCCTTATTTCTCTTCTTGCTGGCATATTCCCTATCTTTTAAAGGTCACTGCACACATCAATCTTCTTCATGTTCCCTTATCCCCTTTACTGACTTTAGGTCATCTCGCTTTACGTCATTCATTAAAGCATCGCATGAAATATTGTTTAAACTTCTCCTACGTCAACCTTCACATCTAATTAATGTTTAAATCGCATTTTCCACGTTATCGTATAATTTGATTTTTTGTTTTCTTTATTTCATCATCCACTCACATAGTAATAATAAGAAGACTGAGTCTGGTCAAGGAGACTCATGAAAAAGTGCCGGACGAGGCTTTCTTTGCTGATACTGTATCTCCTTTAAGTGGTTAACTGTGTACAGAATTGTCTCTTCAAAATGACACTCATTCAGCTCCATCTGTAAACAACTTTTTTTTCAATTACTTAATGTATGTTCAGTGGCCATCTGGGCCTTGCCTTTGGCCTAATGTTACACGTATTCCCACTTCAACGATTAAAGGATATCGCGAAATTTTCTCACAGTGCTTCTTTCATGGAACCGCATTGCACATAGTCTCGAATTATGTCATCTGGAGTTCATTATCAGTTAACGTAGAAATATGAAATGCTCAAATGCTGGATTCATTGCATATCGTGAGAAGACTCATTTAATACAAGGACTGGTCTGTTCTCGATTAATAATTTTCTGTTTCTCCCTACATTAAATACGGCAATCACTGAATCCACCGATCCACCTCCGCTAGGTTGAAGCGCCCTACGAGACTTGGATATGCAATATCAAACACTGTCGATGAGGAGGCACCTCAGCAAAGTTTGCTATCGATTTACTTCAAATCTAGAAGAAAGCAACTGAAAACTGAATCACTACGTGATGCACTTGAACTCATCAGCAAGCGTATATTGAGGACTGAAAGGAAAAGCAAAATCCGGCTTTTATTTATCGGTTCTAAATAGAGTCTGTCATTTCAAAACGAGTGGAGATTAATCAATCAATCACTCAAGTTTTATCTGCTCATGAAACGCGCGTTTCTATGAGTACAAAGAGATTTCACTGACAGTGGGATGCTTGTTGAACGTGAATCAGTGTACCACATGAATTTCTTTAAATGAAAGATTTCTGCCCTGCCGGATCGTTCAAGACCCTCGACAGAAGCAGCATCACTGAATGGCAATGAACGGCAAATTGCCGGGCAGGCAACACTGACAAAAGCTTCGCGTCACTTTAATGACCTGAGCTGCAACCCATTCCGTTTGCTATAGTGACGTCACTCATCCGCATGGACGATCAGCAGAATATATATAGATCTATATAGTCTTTGCTGAGCAGTCCTCTGTAAACCCCCGTGCTAGCGTATACCAAGTAAGGCAAAAGGCAGCCGTAGACAAAAAGCAGTGCTGTCGTTTTAACGGGGTGTTGACGGTCTGAGAGGCCTAAACAGATAATATGAGGCTGTTCGAACTCTAATGGACACTGGTCTCATATGAGTGGACCATTCCAATTTCTCGCTTATGGCGAACCCCAGGCCCTTCAGTGAGTTGGCATGCTTAATCAGTCAATTACGCCACATGT